CATTTGAACAAAGCATGAGAACACTGAATATCAGCACTCCTCTCTTTTCAGACAAACTTCAGCCATCAACAGAAATTAGACCAAGCTACTGCAGCTCTGGCAAAACTGACAGAGATGTTCATACCGTGTTCTCACGCTCTTCACTGAGAATCTGCTGCATCCAGCCACTGACCACAATGTGCTGAAAACCCTCCCTGTCACCCTCAGCTCTTCTCTTCACACTTGATTCTTTCTGTAGTCCAAGCAGTAATTCATCTCACTTGCTAAAAATTTCAGTGTATCTCTAAGCACACTTAACACATACTTAAAAAAACAAATCCCAAATAATAAGAAATAACATATATGAACCACTTAAGCTGATTTTCAGAAACATGTTCTGAGCCATAAACATCTATACACAAGCATGGTCTATTTCAACACTTAGTTAAGGCTGCATTAAGACTTAGTTAAGAATATTTAAGAGTATATATTGCATTAATATAAAAAATGACTGATATTTTTAAAAGTTAAAGGTGAGACAAGTTAAAATTTAGAAAGCGACGAGTGCTAGGTGATGTGAATAAAGAAGAGGCAGCACAAGTTTACCACATTTTCAAGAAAAAAAGACAGAATCACCTCTCAACTTTTAATTTTCCTAATAATTTCCCTAAATGCATATATTTCAGATTTTTTAGCTACTGTATTTTTCCAGAAGAGAGAAAATGATTCTGTTTGAGAAATCCCATAAAAAGGTACAGAAGCCATCCTGTGAATTTCAGTAGGGGACTTGATACATTTGAACTAGGTTCAAAATGGGCTTTTTAAGAAGTGAGCCTTTGTGCCTCTGGCACAGGGACAGCCTTGGAGTCTGTACTTGGTCACACACCTCCTTTATATAATTTAAAGTCTTAGTTCTTATTTACCAGTGTGAGCAATAATGTCTGTAATTATATACACACTATATATGATGAACAATGGTGTGCATAATTCCCTTACTTCATGTTCAGTTGCATTTTTTGAGAAACCCCAAAATGTGTCTGTAAAATCCTTTCAGTTTCTCCCTATCTGCAGATGAGCACACAGTGCACAGACTGCTGAGAGGGAAGAGGTAACATCAGAAGTTTTCCTGGAATTAGTGTACTTTAGGCAAAAGAGACAGTAAAAAAAAGCAGTTTATCACATTATGAAGCAGTCTGTTCTGCTGTTAAACATGATTACCAAAATGGCCCATAAATTACACAGCTCTGGTAAGTTACAGTAGAAAAATGTTGTCTGAATTTGTTAAGCATAATCCTTGATCTCACACCTCACTTCTGACTCTGCCATCCTTTATGGATAATCCTTTTATTAATGATTGACAAAAGTTCACACACGTTCAATCTAAAATGCACCTGGTCAGATCGCTGTTTTCCAAAACATTAGAAATTTTGTGCTAGCTCCATCTTTTACAGAAACATGACTATAAAACATCTTAAAGAGCTTTCAAAAATGTGAATCAGTAGGATGAAAATGTAATTTCTTACACAACACAAAAGGACACAGTCACACTATGGAATGTACCATTCCTTACATCCATGAAAGGAGGCTGGAGAAAGAATATTGAGGGACGACATATTTGGGAGTAAGCACAAAAGCTCATTTGCTTGTATTTTCCAAGCTATAGACTTAGCTGGAGCATGCATTTTAAATTATATTGAAGTCTGCTCAGGTGTGGAATACTAAAAATAATCCTGATTATGCTGAAGTTGATGGTACCAGATAGTTCCATTGATCATAAGACTTCAAAATTGATAACAATATGCAGTATTTAAAGGTATCATAAAAAACTCCAACAAAATAAAGGCAGGAAATCCATGATAAAATGTGTCAATTTTGCCAAGTTCTCCAAAGCCAAGGAATGCAAATCTAAATTGTTGTCAAAAGCACATACTATTCCTCAAGAAAACAACTGAAGACTTTGTAGGATGGGGAAAACCATGTATTTTAAGTCTTTTCTTAAAAGTGTTCAGACAATTTCAAGCATACAAGGGCTCTTGCTGAGGCACAGCCCTGCCAGACACAAAAACCTGGACTGAGAGTTGCCAGACTACAGAAACTAATTTCTGGTCAGCATTTCATGTAATCAACATGCAAAATCTGATTCAAAAATTTCCTGCCTTCAGCACCTTTAATTATTCTTCTTTCCTCTAGACGGCAGCAAGTCAGGTGATTATTTATTGAAAGACCTGTGAAATGTTTTCTCATCAGACAATGTTATGCTGTAGGCTCCTTTTCAGGATTTTATGTGGAGTCACAATCCTTTTTGCCTACTGATTCTGCTGATAAGGTTTTTATCCATTTTACTAAACATAAAAAGAACAATAAAAACATATTTGCTGTTGCAGTGGCATCTCACAATGATATAAATAACTCTCCTGTAAGAGAAGTCAGGTGACTGAGTCAAAGATAGCAGATAGAAACACATTCTCCTTTGCATTTTTAAACACTGTCTTCTGAAAATCCCATCCCTTTTATCCACGACAACTCTGGTCAAAACATCTAATTTTATTAATAAATGTTGAGATAAATCGAGTAATTAATGGTTCCTCCTGCCTGGTTATTGAAATGATTGATTTATAAAATAAGTCTTGGTTGAAAGACATAAGGTAATATGGCAATACTTGAATTTAAATGTAATTGTTCCCCCACTAGCTTAAGTATTTCTTTTGCCTATGAATACAGAAACTACTCTTATTTTTTTGACACAGGAAAATTTTTCAGTCAGAAGAGTTAGAAATAAAAATTCACTGCCTTTCTTCTCCCTTTCATAAAATTTCCCTGCGGATTAAGAACTACCATTGTATCTTGTCTTTCTCTGTTCTATCCTCAAAAAGACTGAGAAAAATCTGGTAGATTATCAACACTGAGCTGTTTGAAAGAAACTAGAAATACTGCTCTATTATCACAGCAGGAATTTCCTAAGTGATGAGTTCATCATAGGATGCACAGACATTCTCCTGGAAGGTAGAATAAAGGCTGTACCTGAAACTCAAAGCCAGCAAATCCTAATCTTGAATTGGTGCCAGGTCATGTTTTGCCAGACAAAGATATTAAAAATGTAATGCCAGTACTAACGAGAGATTTGGCACACGAAACATGAGAAATGTTACAGATTGTGCTGACAGTGTGACACTATGTTTTCCTGGATGTAATCTGGGTATCATGAGAGTAAGCTTGGAGCACTAATGAGAAGAATGATATTGAACTGGAAGAGCTGCTAAATATGCAGTAGCCACAGGGTTCCTGGAGTGAACTGGAACTGAAATGAAAACTGCAATACTGAAAGTAACAGAGGGTAAACTAGGCAGAAATACAGAAGGAAGAGAATCTCAGCAGGCAAAACTTGTTTGTGGTACCACGCTTGCCAGAATATAAAGGGCTTTTCTAATCATACTCTGTTTATCCCTGAAGTACTGTTAAAGAGGAGCAGGATTCTTGAGCTTAAAGGGGCACATATAATTTCAGGATATAAATGAGTTTTGCAATTGACTGGGAAAAGCCATGTATAAAAGTTGAACAGAAAACCCCTTTAGGTGCAAGAACTAAAATTCATATTGGAGATACAAAGTTCATTCCATGTCTTTGAGGTTCCTGTGGGTTTTCTTTTTTTTTTTGCTGTTGCCATGTTGATTTTTGTTTGCTTCCTATTTTTATCAGCTACAGTTAGTGATCCTTATATGAAATGAATATAAAATTCTTTTATGAATTATTTTTCTGACCATCTCTGTTGGAATTTTTGGCATTTGCACTACAGGTCTAGACAGGAGACATACACCCAAATAACTCTGACAGTCAATAAAATCTGTCAGTGTGCTAGATGTTCACTTATTGAGACACAAATTACAAATATAGATATGTATAGCCACTGAAGAAGTGTTACCAAAGTGTTAGAACTTTAAACAGAATGCTATCTAATTTATCTCTTCAGCCTCCAAATGAATGCCCTTGTTCCTTAATTCTCAGTAGCTCCCAGTGTTGCCTCTGGCATCCTGGCTCCTGTTAAACTGCTAATATCTTCAATTACCACTTATTTTATATACAAAATTCACCACTGAAGTTATACTTAATTTTCCACTTCTGTGAGAGGGTGAGATACACAAGAAAGCAGCAGCCAGGCAGTTCTTTGTCTTTAGGAGCAGGGTAATTGAGGGAATAACAAAGTAACCCTGAAGCTCCATATTGTGACTGCCCCAGTTGTCATTTATTTCCACTGCAGCCCAGATTCACACTCTTCACAGGAATGCAGAGCAGGAAGTTTTAAGGTAGAGTTGACATATGCCTCCCCCTTCCTCAGTACAATACACTTTACTACTATCAGTACTTGGAGGTAATGCATAATTCAGTTTGTCTTGTATTAATGTATTGTACAAGGTAAAAAGAGCAAAGAAAATTTAAGCCATGAAGAAAGAGGGCTACTCCACACCAAGTCTTCCTCTGCTCTTTCTGAGATAAGGAAACATAGTAAAGTAAGCAGACTTGCTTTTATTTTTTCCCTTTCTCTCCAATGTGAAGTACAAGGATGCCAAAAATAAAGCAGCGTGTTTTTCTGGATTCAGAACTATGTCAAGCAGAAATTACTTCTCACTTTTAGTAACAGGGATCTTATTTTTGGATGCACTTGAAAAGTGTACCGCAAATGGAGATTATTATTATTTTCTTTAAAGATTAAAGCAATTATGTTTTGACTACAACAGGTAACTGTGGTGTTTGGCAAACAGCACGGAAAAAATGCAAGTTACCATCAGAGCAACTACTAGTATCAATTTCTCCCAGTTATATTGTATTTTAACTTGTCTAATAGTTATATTGTATTTTAACCTCTTTAGTTCAGCCTCTAAAACAAGCGCACAAAGAGGTAAAGCCCAACCTCCGTTCCCTACCAGGATTAAACCCGGGAAATAATTTAATAAAACTCTACAAGAAAAATGACTTAAGTGTTGAGGACAATGCAGCACTAATGTGTTTCATAAGCACTGCCTTACCGCCTGGAAGAGGGTCAGTGCACATGTCACTTCTGTTTTGCTTCCATGCCAGCAGGCACTGCAGGCTGAGGGGATCGGCTGCAGCTGCTACGTGGCTGTTGAACGGCACCATCAGCTGATGAGCCTTGGCAATGCCACAGTAACTCTCTGTTTCAGCCACCAAGGGCAAATTGTTCAAAGCTTTCGCTGCCTCAGAGGCCTGACTGAAATGTTCCAGAGCTTCGTTATAGTTCCCCTAGTAAAGAAGAGAGAAAAAAAGAAAATAATGTTAAAAGCTACTTGTAGTCACCTGTATTTTATTTTGACATCAGAGCCTGCTCCTCTGCCACCTCAGAGATGTGGCAGCCCACAAAGTGACTCATGGCAGGGCATTAAGGAAATCACTCTCCCTTGCTGTTTTCTAACCTCTAAAATCCAGATAACACTGCCCATATATTTGAATTGAATAGCATTTTGAGCATACAAATCCAAGTATATGAACAGTAAGTATTAATACAGATTGCAGTCAGGCTGTTTAGAAATTATTGTCTCCGTGCATTTAACATACCTGTGGAAGAAAAGGTCCTAATTTACGTTAGTATTAAATCTTAAAAAATAATTCCTAAAAATGGAAAAAAGGGGATAAACAAAGCACAGAAAAGAACAGAAATTTAAACTTACTTAATTTATGGGGGAAGGAGGGGTATACAAACAGTAGGGATATTCCTAATCATAAAAGAGAAAAAGTAGGAGAAATTTAGCCCAACTGTTGCTGAATTGAAAACTCAAATAATTTATCTCTCTATCCTACCATTGGCATGGAATTCTGCTGCTCTGATGGCAAAAACTTCCTGACTGAAAGCATTTTCAGAGCTGTTCTATCCTTTCACTCTCACCTTGATTTAATAAGATTGAAATTCTCTTCTGTATGGAGACTGGGAAGTGAGACTCCAACTGGTATCTATTTCATTTGATACCACTTTTTGGGATGAGAACTCCTATAACTGCTAACATGTGCTTATGATTAAAAAAGGAAAAAAAAAGAGCAATAGCAATTCTGGTAGTCTTTCAGCTTTGTTTAATACAGCAGAAGAGCAGAATTAGGCCTATGAGGACACAGCAATGAATAAGGAATGATAAGCTGTAATATAATAAAAAGCAGAAATATCTACTTACCATACTCATGAGAACTATAGCAGGTTAAGTGATGCAATTAGTGAGAGGAATGTAGCAAATCAGACTAAGAAACTCAGAAAAAATGAAATGAGAAATGACAGAGTTATCATGCAAACTTCAGAGTATACATATTAAGTAAGCAACCTGTTTATTGAACTGGGGGAAATGAGACCCACTACTCCTGCAGAACACAAACCCAGGCATGTTAGGAAACAAGAAACATCTGGGTAAAACAATTGTGACTAGAAAGCAAACTGTGTGTACAGCATTAAAGAAAGATACTGCTGGTGAGGGAATAGTGAGATAAGAGAACTGGAAAGACTCAGCAACAGTGTGGACAGAGCAACGTGATTTTGGTCAAAGTGATTTGTGTTTGGAAGAACAGGAAGAGTTATATCCCAGGTTTACTAAAGGTCCCCATGGATAGATCTGGATATAAACAGAAATATCTTTAATTTGATGGACTACTTCTGCAAATTTTATTACTGGGGGATGTACAGAGTTGAATAAAAAGACCCTAATAATGACTTAGAGAACACTGGTGATGACAGCTGACACCAGCAGGCAGTGATCCAAAAGAAGAAATGTTAATTCACACTCAGTTTTGGTAAACACTGCTGACCTTGCAGAAAAAAATTATACAGAAAACAAGGAATTGCATACTTCAAGATTTTTAAATTTATGGTTAAACTAAATATTTTATATACATTAATAAGATTAAGTTACTGCACTTGTGCCCTTCTACACCACTGCCTCAGCTCAAGGTAGAAAATTCTGAACTGAGAAGGAGAATTTGAAGAAGAATCAAATAGAGATTAGTTATTAAAATACAAGTTCTATTGAATTGATTATTAGCAATGGTGGAAGAAGGAATGAAACACAGAAGTAGTTAAACAGAATTTATTTAATTATTTTTCAGATTCAGAGGAGAATAATTCAGCACAGTGTCATATGACTTCTTCTAAGTTTCAGACCCATTTTACAGCTATTTCATCAAGTTGTCAAAGACCTTAAAACTTAGTTTTCAACAGGAAATTCAGCATTTATATTAAGAACACATGTAAATAGAAAACTCTCAGGCTAATTTAGAGATTACAGAGTAAAAACATTTCTACTGTGTATGAAATAAAACCAGGACAAACAGGACAGCAATTTTGGTAGTGGGAGTTCTCTGTAAGAGGAACCCAGGAAACAAAAAAAGAGGTACTTAGGGATAGTGTAAGTGAAGAGGGGAAAGTACTCTGTTCAATATATTACACACAGAACTGAGACAAAAAATATGCAACAGAAGACATTCTGTCTTCTGGGTATTTCTAGTTTTATCTTATTTGTAGCGGAAGTGTTTCCTAAGTTCCGTATTAGCCAGCATACAGAACAAATTCTTTTCATTACTTATTGTATCTAAATAATTTTGTGTAGCAATTCAGCTCTAAAATAGGTGTTAAAGCATAAATCCTTCACTTTTGCAGCAATGTCTTTAACCCTTTTGATTTCAAAACCCAAGTGTCACTGCAGTGCAAGTGGAGACAAGAGAAAGTCTTTCCACTGCTAACAGACCTTTGACAAACTATTTGCTGCTAGAACCCATTTCATAAATTTGGCTAAGAGAATGTAAAGAAGAAATGTAGCTAAGATTATAAACAGCCCATTAGTATGCAATGCAGTATACATTCATGTAGAGTGCAATAATATTTCATTTGCATTAACTGATGACTTTTTATAGGCATATATGGCCCCAATGGTGATCTGGATGCGGATTTTTCACAACATGTAAAGTTTGTCCTGATCTGAATTTGGAGTTTTTTATTCATCTATTTTAGAAAAAAACTCTGTGTGTTAAATATGATGTGAAATTTTCACCTTTCTTAGAAAATTAAGGCACATTTCATTTAGCCACACAGTGACTTCTCCTTGGGTAGCTCCTGCAAGATGCAACACCTGGATCAAATCCTCCTGTGTCATCTCGTAGGCATAACCAGATTTTACCAAGAAGTAAATCAAGTTGTTTCAGATCATTACTACAAACAGTACTTACTCTTTCATTGTGAACTTTTCCAAGTAGGACATTTGCATCCACCAGGCTTTGGCCTAGATTAGCACTCTCAGCATCCTTCATAAACTCTCCCAAGTACTTCACAGCCTCACTTGATTTTCCCTGACTGAAGAAAAGGACAGGGACAAAATGAAATATTTACTCAGATGGCTTCTTCAAATGCTGAAGATCTACCCCCTTTTCTGAAGAAACTTTACTTTGTGATGACTCATCCATGACTGGATTTTATTTCCAAATGGCCTCCAGCACTACCTGTGCTGAGCCCAGTGAGACTACTTCACACAGAATGTCTGAGGGCAAAACTGGATCCTTTCAGCAAAATAGAACAAAACTTACTTTCAGAATATTGTGCCATCTTTTAAGGCCATGAATAAAAACACAGGTGGATGATTTAAGAGGGCTTTTGGACTTTCCATTATTTTTTTTTTCTTTCTACTGAGCTGCTGGTAATATTTTCAATTTAGCAGGACCTCACATCCTGACAAAATAGGGGAAGGAAATTTTTTCAGTAAGGCTTTCTGTCATTCAGAGCTGCTCTAGAACCTGGTGGTGCAGCAGCAGCTCCATGACAGGGCTGTATCAGTTCTGGGCTGACAGCCTTTCCCTGAACACAGCACTGCCCTTTGGCTGGCTGGATCAAAGGTGGCCAGGGTCACACAGGCAAACCTATAAACCATGGATTGCAGGTGCCACCCCCAAATCCCAGGGAGCTCAGAGCAACCTGAGGTCACAGTTGCATCTAACTTGAAAATTGGCTAACATACTTTGACAATAACATTTGCAGATTTTTTTTTTTTTTTAATAAAGCTGGTCATATTAACAATATAAGACCTCAGCAGTGTGATTGCAAGATATAAGACAGACATCTGAGCTTGCTTGTGAATAAGGCTTGGTGCCCTTTTTCCTTTAAGGCTGGAGTGCTATTCCAGCTGACCTCAATATTAGCCATGAACTTGAGTCACTAATGTAGGAATGTAGCATGCTAAATGTCAAGGCACCAAGACAGAAAATTCAGTCTTAATTAAGAAATTCACAAAAATAGGAGTTTCTGTAAGCAATAAAGAATTGTGATTTATTTTCTCACCATTTTAAACTACCTTCAAGTTATATTCCTGCAGCAAATGATGTCCTGGCATTTATTTACAATACAGTTTTTATTATAAGCTATATTAGGGATATGTGCTTTCAAAATCTGGCAGAACTCTGAGTTTCTCTCTTTTATGCTATTGGAGTAATTATAACAGCCTACCATGAAACAGGAGACATAGCAAAGCTTAGCTGCAAATTTAAAATACTGCAGTGATTATCTGTATGTGACTAAGAGGCTAAGATTACTACAAAAGAATGCTAAATCACTGCAAACTAACATTCTTGAAATGCTCAAGTATATGCTACTGTAAAGCTTAGAGGTCAATTAGCAGACTTAGATTTACTAAACTTTCCTAAGTTAAGTATATTATTACCATGAGAATGCAAAACATACCAGACTGTAAACATTTACCAAACGTCAAAAGGCTTCTAAATTTTAGAATTAGAAGCACATATTTTTTTAACCTGTTTTTTTTCCAAAGAAAAGAAAATCAAATGCTTCCCTAAAGAAATACAGCATATGATTTATATAAGTTAAAGGACAAGGTTAAAGTGTTAGACAAATATTAATTCCAGTTTTTCTAGTTTTCTATATGCAGTGCACAGGTGCAACTTGAAGAGCATATTATATGGTATAATCATTAAATCCATTCAACCAGACCTTTGAGAGTTAAAAACATATATTCTGAGGAAAAGGACTCCTTGGTCCAAGGAATGAGAATGAAACAGTGCAGAATATTTGTGTATCAAGGTGATTCCAGTTTCCAATTGGGAAAACAGGACTGTTAACACCCACATCCCCTGACAACTGTCCAATTATGTATATCACACTTGGCCTACTGTTTGCAGTAGAAGTAATCAATAAAGGATGTGGTTGAGTGAACATAGATTTTGGTTGAACCAATGCATGAAAACTTAATCATTTACTCAGAGTGGAGAAATCAAATAGAGCAGAGATGAAACAGCCACTAAGGGGTTTTGTTGATTGTACCACCAAGTTTGTGGGCTAGAGGCTGAAAGTAATAAAGCAAATGGAATCAGTGACAGGAGAAAATGTAAAAAGGTTTTCTTAATTTCATGAATTAATAGAAATGTTTTGATGTATTTTTGGCCATTTTTTACTTTTCACATCAAAACTTCTGTTCCACATATAGGAAATATGAAAATTGCTAGGGCATATAACGTCTTTGAGGAAAACAGGAATCAATTTGATACATATCAGTAAGATATTTCTCACTGTTAGGACTTCACTTATGCCAGCTAGAAATCAGTTGGAACAGTTTAACAATTTTTCAAAGGAAGTACTTTTAAAAGCACTACAGCTCGAGATATTTAAAGTATGCTAGAAGGATTACTGAAACACTTTGCACAAGACCTGATAACATGATAAACAGGTCTTTCCTACTCAAAGGGCTAATATTTTATAGTTCCTTCAAAAATCTACATGTTATTTTATACAGCCATGCACTTTCTATCTCCTTAGACATCACCTTCCTAAATGCATAAAATGCAATTTCCTAAAGATATAGTCATTCATGATCCCACAGAACAGTTATGATGACTTCAGCAGAAGAGATTACACATCTACAGCAACTCATTTTCCAGTTTCATGCTAAAATGCCCTATGAGATTTTTACCCCTATTAGACTTTTATGAAAATATGCACCTTTTATAGGATTGCTCATGTGATGGAATTGGAAGTATAAATCATGTGTCCACAAGAAGTCATTACCATGGTGGACACTGGCAGAATAAGTCAAGAACATGATGCTATTATGTCAGATTCTTTCCCCTGGAAAATGACATGACTAAATGCACATGATAAAGATTTTCAGTTTCCCATAGTCTCTGGAAACATCTGCAGCAAAGATTTCACAAAATATTCCAAAGCCAGACAGGTTCTGAGCCATTCAGGAGGGCTCAGGCACTTTCTCTAATCTGTCATGAGGAAATAAGTGCAAATTCTCACAGACATTATGGTTGTAATGCATTATTTTTTGGAAACAGTCATCTTCCTGTGAAGAAGGTATTCATCAAATTTAAAATTATTTACACAAATCTAGCCTAAATCAGGTAACAATACTAGTAAAGGAAAATTGAACAAGCTGAATATGGGGATTCTGTCACCAGCAGTAATTACTGGTGCATTTATCCAAAGTGTTCTGTGTCCAGCTCTGGCATCCTCAGGACAGGATGGATATGGACCTGTTGGAGTGGATGCAGAGGAGGCCACCAAGATGCTCAGAGGGCTGGAGCACCTCTCCTGTGAAGACAGGCTGAGAGAGCTGGGGTTGTACAGCCTGGGGAAGTTGCCAGGGAGACCTTACAGCTCCAATGTGAGCTTACAATAAAGATAAAGACAAATTGTTGAGCAAATGTTGGGCCTGCTGCAACAGGGCAAGGGCTCTAAACTGAAAGACGGCCAATTTAGATTAGATGTATGGAAGAAATGTTTTACAATGGCAAAACACTGGAACAGCTTCCCCAGAGAGGTGGTAGGTACCCCATCCCTGGAAATATTCAAGTCCAGCCAGGATGGGGCTTTGAGCAACTGTATCTATTTGAAGATGTCCCTGCTCACTGCAGGGGGTGGACTAGGCTGACCTGTAAAGATCACTTCCAACCCAAACTATTTTATGATTCTATCATTCTATGACTCATAGGTGCCCAGACTTTTCCAAGTGTAAGCTTCTCAAACAACTGAAAGTTGCTGAGAACCATTGTGACATTCAACAGGGTTGAACAGTTAATGCCTATCACATACCCAAAACTCTTCAGAGCAGGTATATATGTAAGGTTTAATTTAATTAAATGCTCTCGTGGCATAGCTACCAGATGGGTCTTATAAAAAGTAAAACAACAGCCATTTTTCAGAGAAAGGGCTTAGGGTTGTGTCGTCACCAAGAAGACTCAATCTGTTCTCTAATCTATTCTTCAACACATTAAATCCCTGATCCTACACATGAGATTGACCTACTCCACCTAAATTAATCAGAATATTCCTCTTCCAGAAGAATGCCTTCAATACTGAACTGTGGAGTCTTACTACTCTTAGTATCTGCTCCCACTGCTCCTCATCTCCTGTTTTCCTTCTTTTTCAAATTGCAACAACTGGTAGCAGTGGGACTGGCCATTTCTGGATAGTTAAAGAATGCTCCCAGAAGAAGTGGAATACAGTTTGATACAGGAGAAAATCACTAGCCATTCCATCTTTAGATCTGCTTTTAAGAAAACAATTGCATTGGCATGATCATTCAGATGAAGGGTTTAGCAAACTAATTTCATAAAGATCTTGAAATCTGAAACAATTGAGTAAATAAATGCATGGGCCCTCATTCCAGAATGCCTAAATCACAGAAAGGAAATTAACATGGTTTTAAAACTGGGACCTGGTATTCTTAGTCTGTTCTGTGTCTTTTTGAATATCTTTTCCCATGTCCTTATTTAGGATGCTCAGAATACATGTAGACATGAATTATGCATCAGACAGCTGAAGAAGACTCTGGTTGTGGCTGATCCCTACAACCAATCCCTGGTTGTGCTTGGATAAGGCCAAGAGACAAGGGATCTGACTCAAAGGGGAGAATTTGCACTGCACACTGAAATAAATCAGGTGACAAGTCCCTCTCCATAAGCAATTGCCAAGCTCTATCATGCATCATATGCACTGAGGTCTTCAAACATAGGATAAGTCAAGAATAAGCAACTTTCACTTTAATCTCTTTTTACCCTATCTCATACGACAATTTCATTAGGCGACTTTATGTCAAAATTATTTGTACCTGCACTAATTCACCTGGAGGAAGATTTTAATGCCAGATGCCGAAATAAAAATATTGAACACAAGCATCATATCTGCAAAAAATTTTACCTAGTTACACATGCACAAACCAGAAATGCCTCCACAGAAGAAGAGAGTGCAATAAATGGAAACTCACAGTTCAGAAAATATTACACTGAGACACCTATTGGAGCTTGTTACATTCTTCCAGATTTCCTTTCTTAACCTGGAAAATAGGTCTGCATTTCTATTTTCCAGTAAGGTAAGGTCCCCCATAAACCAAAAAAATAAAACCAAAACAACCAAACCCCAACACTTAAAAAGCCCTCAAAATGTGGAAGAAAAAGGCCATGTTATAGTATACAGGCCAAGAAAAACTAGAACCATACACTTTAAAAAACGTGTAACAGTTTAAAATAACTTTCGATGAAAGGGTCACTTACTGCAAAAAGGGCACTGCTTAAAATTTAAGCAGTCAGTAATGGAAAGTGACAGACCTCTAACAATTTAAGTCTTTCACAGCTGAGTGAATCTGCACTGACAGTCAGACAAGGATGTGCTAACCTACCTTGCCAGGATCTTGGCTACAGCTGCATATGCTCTGCCCAGGCCAGCAGAATCACAAAGGCTTGTGAAGATTTCTACAGAGGTGTTCAAAACCTATGAAACAGGAAGGTAAAAACAATAAATACTCCAACAGGAATTTCCACTTTTTCTTTCCCTCCTAATCTCTCTGCCCACACAGAACACAAAATTAAAATACTTCTACAACTGTTCTCTAATTAGTTATGATGAGACTAGGGTTTTGATCATTATTTATAGTTGTTTGAAACTACTCAATAATTACAAATCAAAAAAATGTAACTTGCAATTATATCTCTGTGTTTTGGTAATTTACAGAAAACCAAAGAAGTACTCCCTAATTTGCAGTATCAATTTTCCTTATCCATAATTTAAAAGATTTTAAGAGCCTGTGCTTTTATGAGTTTCTGATAATCAATGACTTAAGATGGTGTCCTTTGCATCCATGCTGTTTTAGAATGATACGTTGAAATACAACTCAGTATTATTTTTGTTTCTCTAATTTCTCACAACTTATCTTAGTACAATTCAGATGCCCCAAACCGGAATAAATTACATGTTATATGTTAATCTATGCTGGCTAAAGTACTGTAGATAATGCTGCTATTTTTCTGATTAATTATTCACATATGAGAAATTTTTTAACATTCACTTGGAATCTACTCTATTATTATGAACCCTACCATAACTGAAGGCTTACAGCTGCTGCATAAAATCATATGATCTTAATTTAATTTAACACTGACATCACCTGTATTGCAGAATTCCTCTTTTCATCCATTTTTTTCCAATGGCGATGACAGGAGAGCGCATATAAAATTAAATCTTATTCTTTCATCCCTCCTCTTTGTTGCTTGACCCAATCTATTACACACATGAGAAAACAGGAAATCTCCAAAGACTGTCTATGGAAATCCTTTTTGCACATTTCCAAGAAAGGAGTACTGAATGTCATTTACCAGTTCTGAAGGAGGATGGGAGATGCCCAGGGACATATGACAGTATCCTGCATGCCCCAGGATGCCTATTTATATTGAGGTAAAAGACTGGGCATTTTCTACTCAGAGTGCATCCCTGTCACTGGCAAAGTGCACGGCTCAGGAGAAGACAACCTGTCTGTGCTAATGCTGTGGGTGACACCATTTCCGTTGCTGCTTCCACTCAGATTTCTTAGTTATTGAAAGAGTTTTACTACATGCAGCAGCATCCCTGGACATGGCTTTTATTCTTTAGCTACACAAGCTCTGTGTGCACCAAAAGTAGATTTATGTGCACTGCCTTATTTATCATCCCTCAAGTACTTTCATATCAGTAATGTTCTAATGTTGCATCCTATCCTTGCAGGTCACTGCCAATTGAGTTATCAATGCATGGGGTGTGACAGAAAGAGTACAAAGGCACCTCAGTTAGGAAGTTGTCACATCAGCTCAAAAGCCTCCCTAAACTGAATACATACATGATGCTGTCAGTGCCTGCAGTATATCCTTCCAATAATCCAGGATGGTAGCAGAAACACACAGGTGTCTGAGAAATAATTCCTGGTATTGCATTTAACTCCGGGGACCTACAGCATTTGTTGTAATAATTGTGCTCATATTAGAAAACCTGCTATTAGAGTGTCAGGAGGTGTCACAAATGTTATGTGCTGGGCTGAAACAGTTCCTACTTTTAACTGGCCTCTACAATATTAATCTTGGATACAGGGCCTGCAGTCATTACTATCTGGCACAGAAAGGTAACTTAGAAACCTAAGCCTTTGGCTACTGTACATTTTTTTTCTATTAAAGACATCAAAAAGCCTGAAAAGTACAGATAAACCCAAGGAAAAATCATACAAAGCACAGCTGAAGTAAAAAGTTGGTTCATTGCATTGCTGCAACAGCTGCGAGAAAGAAGGAAGTAAATAACTAAAGCTCCTCATTCATATTGATGAAAAGTGCTCATTTTGGTTCCAGGTTACTACTACTGTACACAAATCAGATATTTCATTCTAAATAATGAGGAAATAACATTAATTAAATCACCTCCATGAAAGGGAGGAAATCTTGATAAATTACCATAAAAAATGTACTCTTTATGTCTATATTTCAAATGACTCCTCCAGCTTCAGGTAACAGATGGGGACATAGAAAGGGACACAGGATCTTGACGGAAAGGAGCTGTGCATCCCTGGATGCCAAAACTGCCCAGTATCCATTTATGTAAAAGAAGTGAAGAGGGTTCTTCCCTTCTGTGATGTATGCCCAACTTTCAACACTCAGGATAGAAACATTTCAGGCCAGAAACATTTCAGGATAGAAAAAGAGGAACAGATAGAACAGGTTAAAATGATGGGTAAACACATAAGCATTACAGAATTTCACCCAGTGTGTCTTGAAATTACAGCACATTTAAAATTTTCATTTAGAACAAGAAAATTATAAAATTTACATGCCGGAAAATCAAGTGGAATCAACACAGTGATGGGTGCCAAAATCTGTAAAAAACCAACAAATGAGCATGAAAACTTTCCTGATTATTTTTATGGGATAGGGACAACCAGTCCATCTAACTGGCTTCCTGTGGATACCTCCTATGAAAAACATACCTGTGGCAGAGAGTATTGAGTGGCAGGGCTCTGCCAATCATCTATCAGTTCTTTGCAAAGTGGATAAATATTGGGAACACTGGTTACCATTTGGATCTAATGGAATTTATAGGTTCCCAATGAAAAGTTTCCCTTTAGAAAGAAGCATAGCCAGAAAATGGTATTTTTTTATATATATATATATATATATATATATATATATATATATATATATATATATATATATTGGCCATTTGTGCAGGGGAAAATGACATCCAAGGAAGAGGTGGAATAATTAATAATTAATGCTGAAAACTCCCACACAAATGTGAAGTTTTACTGGATGGGAAAAGTTCAGACAACAAAAGAAAAACCATTTTATTAAGGTAAGATGATTCTGCTGCAGTATTCTATAGCAAATATTGTGTTTGAAAATGTCATCTTGGTAATTTCCTTTGTAAGCATTGATTAATTCTTTTATGCATTAATAAAAATATAAAACAATATGTAAGTAGAAATTTAATGGGACTACGTAAAAATCTATACTGGTAATGTATAATCAAAACCACTTTAGGTATTACACATATTTAGCCAAATTTCCTTCTCTAAAGTTAGACAGATTCCAGAGATTTAGAGTTACTGAAGGAGTAAAATGTCTGTTTTTTCCTTTATATTTAGAATTAGGCATGTACAAAGAGTTCTGAGGAAGGAAGCTGTTACAATAGATTTATCTTGATCATACTAGACTCCATTATAAAATGATAAAATTTCCATATTGTTTCAAAGACAGTTTGATACTCCTAGCAACTAGTGGGAAAAGACTGTTGTATATGAGGTTGAACAGATTAGAATAATGTACAGTTCTTTCTACCTCTATACAAAAATGTAACCTAAGCTTAACAACATAACAATTACAAAAACCACACTGATTCTGGTCATAGGTTATTTTTTGGATCAATGTGACCAAGCACATTGATTACCTCAAAATTTTTGCCTCTGTTGGTCTGTGGGAACACTAGCTTAAAAAACCCAAATAACATTAAAGTCAAAGTCTAATACAGAAATGAACAGTGGGTTTCAATCACTTTTCCTCCTTTGTGCAGGATGTTGGAAGGTAGAAATGGAAGGTGGACTTCAACTTTGTCTTCCACATAACAGACCAGAGGATAGCTCCTGTGGGAACATCCATTCACAAAACCAACTCTCTTTCAGTGTCTTTTAAAGTCTGTTATATCTGCAATTAAAGTGTAAAAATAGAGTCTTAAGGTCTGCTTGAATCTACAAAGTAGAGCCTGTTTGTGGCATGGCTCTCACACTAATTCTCTAGCTAGGGGTGAATGCCACATTTACCTCCTTTTACAAGAAAAATATTAGTGAGCTCTCAGACCCAGATTTACTTCTCAGTTATCTCAGCATTAGCCAGGCTGACCCTCCAGGGTTTATTCCATCAATATAAAACAGATACAGGAGCTCCTCCCTCAAGAACCCCCTCCATCCAAAATCCCACCTTTTATTTTTTATTTTTTTCACATCTGTAATTCTTTTATATGTGAACAAAAACATGCACACAGACTCCATTAGCATACACAGGACTCAGACAAAAGCACAGAGGCTCTGCTGAACACTGGTACATCTGGGGATAATGGACAAAAGAGAAAATATTGAAAGTATGAATTTATGTTGAATAAAGAACATCTATCCAACTCAACACAAGATTAATGCTACTACCAGCATTTCACTGTTTTGGTAAAATACATTTCTCTGACAAGCACATCATGAGATAACATTGATTTATAATACTGGAACTTTAAAAAACACAAAAATGTAGTTCTGCTTTCAGCTTTAGATTTGATATTGTTGCCAAACTTTATTGGAAATACATTTATTTTGATTTCTGCAAATCTAGCTGTGTTTAGCCATTTCACAGCTGGTGAGCAGGAAAGATGCTTCTGCCTCATTTACAGATCTTGAACATGAATCAGACAATCAACTGGACCATTAGTCAAAGAGATCAGTAGCTAATGATTCCTGACAGGCACTGCAGTGGCAGACGAAGGCCCAGCCTGGCTAGCAGCATCCGACAGTATTTTTCTGAAGCCAACAATAGGGGTTGGCAGACAGACAATGGAGTTGAGTGAGAGTACAGGACTCATACCACTTTGTACCTCTTAAATACTTTCAGGAAAAAACACGTAGTTCTGATGGTTATTAAATAATCACTTTGATGTAGTCCAGTGAAAATAAGAGACCATACAATTGTATGCACAGGCACTCTGCAGTTCAATGAACTCTGACCAGTAGCTGCCTCAGAAATGCATATTTAAAAATAACAAAAAAGTGCTGTCTTTATTGCCATAATTTGAGTGGTTACACACCTGTGGCCATGCTGAGTAAGATCAAAGAAAAGTTTCACAATACAAACCCAGATGTATTCTTATTTTTTGCCAAAACACAGCATGGGAGAGGTTGGGCAGCAAAAGAAAAGGGTATTGTTCATGAAATGTATTGATCC